ATGCGTCGTAAGTCCATGTTAAATATTCATCTATTTCTCACAAATGAGCATCAAAATTCTCGGTTCAAGGTGGTCAGACACAGAAAATACGAGACTGTGCCTGTATTTCATTTTATTTAACAAACAGAGAAAATCAACTAGGATCTCCTTTAAAAGAGTTCCCTAAAGAGTTCCCTTCTGATTTGATACATAGCTCCATATGGTGCTGCCAACGTTCAAAGCAGTTCTGCAGATCACTTTCTGAAAGGCTGTTGAGGATCTCCGTCGTTTTTGCTTTCACACCTTCTACCAACAAAAAATGTGTTCCTTTGAGCACCGACTCGATTTTTGGGAAAAGGTAGAAGACGCAGGGAGCCAGGTCTGGCGAATAGGGTGGGTGCAGAGTGATTTTGTAGTTAGTTAAAAAGTGCTTAACAGACAAAGAATTGTGTGCTAGCGCGTTGTCCTGGTGAAAAATCTAACCGTTTCTCCATAATTCCGGTCGTTTCCTTCCCAAGCGTCCGCGCAACTTCAAGACTTCAATGTAACACTGCTGATTTACCGTCTGGCCGCTGGAAACCCACTCGGCCATTACAGTACCCTGGATATCAAAGAAAACAATCAACATGGCCTTGAACTTCGAACAAATCTGGCGTGGAGATTTTGTTGGCTTCCACTGCATTGATTGTCGCTTGGTTTCCTCACTTGATAATTGAAAAGTTTCCGTCGCGGATTTCTTCGATTTCACAAGAAACTTGATGTTAACTCGCTCTTCACTCTTGCACTCCAACATTTTCTGACCGAGGGTAAGAAAACGTCTATATTTGAACACGAGTGCACTCGTACTGAGTAAAGCTATGGAGTCTATAGAGTTGAGCGTTGTCTTATGGTGACAGGTTAGAACATGCTCTATAACCATCTCTTTGTCTCTCTCCTCCCACTCTCGGTTCCAAAGCTAAAGGGTTGGTCTCCTCTTTGTGTCTGGCTACACATATGAGATCCCACTCCAAATATACGACAAAAAACAAACTCCGCGGCTTTAGTTCGCAAGCGAACTTTACCGACCGAGCGACCGCCGCTTGTCGGCGAAGTTAGTGCCAACCTCAGCGGATAGAGAGTGTTACGTGGTCATCTCAACGAATCCCCAAGGCCGTTAACTTCGGTTTGCTAGACCGCAGCCGCTACCTTTCTATTCAAGTAGCTCCTCAATTATCCTCACGGGACTAAATGGACCCCGTTTCACACTCACTACTTCTCAGAAAATATGGGAGCGCCGGATATCGAACCCGGGACCTCTGGATCTGTAGCCAGGAACTCTGACCACTAGACCACAGAGGCGGTCCCTCTGACCCTCAAGGCGTTGGCAAACAGAATTCAAGACACTGAAACACATTTCCTCAAATATAAAAAAACAACGTTTGTTGCCCTCAAATATCCTTAAAATTGTACTTCGTTGTTAAGCTCTAAAAGTTCGTGAAGACGCTATATTAATATAGTTACTGACGCGTTGGACGTCATTAATCGTCCTGCTTTTCACTGTAAAAACTTTTCATGGACTGGACTGTGTTTTCGCCCTGAAAGAAGAGCCTGATCTGTTGGGCCCAGGGAAGAGAGACTACTTCTGGCTATTAGGCCCAAATGAGTATGTTCTTACCTGAGGATGGAGACAGTTTCCAGTCTCCGAATCGTTGATTTTTAGTAAAAACCAAGTCGATAGATAGTGTAGAAAAGTTAATCATTGTTTCTTGTTGATTCACGCTATTTTTTTAGCAGTGATGTTGATGTCACACGTTTAACGAGACTCTTCCATTGATATAATGCAAGACACAATATCTGTTTTCTGACTTTGTAGTAACGCGGTGTGTAACCTAACGGAATTTTCTGAAGACTGCCAAGTACTTACCTGTATGCTGAGAACTGTATGAATGAGAGGAAACTGCACTGATGGATGCTAGAAGTAGGTGGAGGGGGAACGAGGGTTGTCGATATAGCGGTTTGTGGGTGCTTATCGACTCTTAGTATGTGTATGGAGGTTAGGAACAAATCGGCAAGCATCTGCAGGCCAACAGAAGGAACAATGATAGTGAAATCGTATTCGAACTGGATATCTGACGTGGAAAGAAGAGATGCAAGAATGATTTCAACCCAATGCTCCTGACATAAAGTTAAACCGACCCACATCACGAACGTGATATTTCGTTTACAAATACACGTCTTGTTTTCTTGGCATGCCTGTATAATTTCAGTCTCAGTGGAAAAGAAACATTTTCTGCCATTCCTTGATTAACGCGTGGCTCACTTAAAAACATTTCCAACAGCTTAGATTATGTAGCGATGAGTGACAGGATAAAATTAGTTGATAACGAACTGGAAAGATGTGGTAGGAAGCTGTTGTAGTCTAATTTGAAACTAAACTCCTGTATTTTTCTGGAGAGACTGAAGAAACCCCAGTAATCCTCAGTCATATAGGCAGTTTTGGCCATAGATTTGAATCTAGGACTTAACTTGACCTCGCCTTTGATACAATTTATGGTTTATCATCTATTTGTGAATTAAAAGATGCTATGGAACTACAAGAGAAAGAAGTGATTTTAGCTTAAAAGCTTTGCATGCGAAGGACTAACAAGTAATCAGTTTTATAAAGAATGCTATATTTAGAACAACGAGCAGGTCTGTATAAATAACAGCAAGTTAAGCAATTCTCGGTAATTTATCATGTAGCAAGACAACTTTGAAACAGTAGGTTATGAATTATTTTCCTGCAGAAAATAGCAAACGCACTCAAGTTAGGTTAAATTGTCTACCTTGGACAATTTTGCAGTCCGAGTTATTGATGCGAACGGAAGGGGGGCCCCATTCATCTTGCTTTTTTTCTTATTTGTTATTTATTCTTTCCTAGGTATTTCGTCAAACATTCACAGCCCACTACACCGTGTACGACGTCAGGAACGAGTAAGTACCCATATCATTCAGGTAGCATAACTTGCGCCTAGTGACCACTCAGTCCTGTACGCTAGAAGCAATTATCTGTTTTGCTGCTCTCCGTCTATGTACGTATGCATGTACGTATTATTATCTGCATCCAGCAGACATTTGCAGTCATCTGTTTAGTCGTTTTCCCCCGTGTCCGTTAGAGCTATGCTTATGCTTAGAGCATTTAGAGTTGCACACCCGGCGTAACCATATCCGTGAACTGTACCATTTTCAAGTTTACTTTCGTCATAAATTCTGTCCATCTCTTTTGGAAACTGTTGGTCTCAGAGTTCCTGCTCCGGATATCAGAGACTTTCAATGTCTGCTCTTCAAGCAAGAATTGTCCTCCTAAATGTGTTCTGGTTGCTAATGCTGTTAGCAGGGACGCTTACATGTGGAACAGACACTCTTTCTCCTAATCATATTTATAACGAAACTTCCTTGTTTATTAAAATATTGTAGTCAATATGATTATACATAATGTCACATGTTTGGAATTCAGAGTGTGAGTGTGAGTGCATTAGTGAAGCACAATAAAGATTCGCTAAATCCGAGACCCACGTGAAGTTATTTGTCGCGTGACATTCCCAACACGTGACAATATATATCCCCATAATATAACAGTTGGCGCAATTGCATTCATTCAAATTTTATTATTGCCTAAATGACAGACGTTATTTAGTTTTGGTTTTTACCTCATGTGTGTATGTGCTTGCTTTCTTCCTTATGCCTGCTATCTTTATAATTGATTTTTGGCCTGCTGAGTAAGCATTTAAATAAATAAAAAAATCAATTCAATTAATATCCACTTGAAACCCTTTTTATATTCGCTACTATGAACTTTGTGTATGCCTTGCTTCTTAGGCGACACACTCACGCACGCACACACACACACACACGCACACATACATACTCGTATATGTATGTAGAAATAGTTTCATATGACATAATCCTGAGTTTATATTTTGCAGTAGGCCTCTGTACTACATCAGTAAATGTAAGGGAAACAATTATATTATATAAGATTTGAGGCTTTCACGGCGGTGACTATGAAGAAAGCAGTCTTCTGGGATTTGGCACCGTGTATATATGGTGTTAACCGACGTTTCCGAGGAACGTCNTGAAGAAGTAAATAATAGTGCAAAAGCTACTTTCTTCTTTACAATTAGGAGCGATATTATGAAGCATAAAAACTGAGAGCCTAGACAATTACAAGTAAGGAACTGACGGATAGTTTAGGTCCACCCATTGTTATTTCTCCTATATGCACATGGTTAGCAGACAAAGACCGATAGATTCTTGATGTTGTGGATTCCCTTATGGGCCTCTTTGGGAACTCTAATATGTTCGCTTTTGTTCGGATGCGGCCTATTATAGACGAAGCCACATGTTGCTGGTGGTATAAAAGTCGGTATTCTGATAGCTACGTCTACAGACAGATTGATGTTACAGCCATAAACTGTAAGATTCTCATTATGAGTCATTAAGTTATTGGTTCCTGGCCATTCGTCTTAAAAACAATTTCCTCGCCACCATATTAAGTGATCAGAGACAGACTTCAGGTCAAAAACATTTCACTTACATAAACCCACTGCCTTCATCTGTCTTCCATTCCATAAGAAAAATGACCTTCCCTTCTGAATTCCACATTTTTTTATTACTTAGGTCTACATTGTGAAACAAACAAATCCATCTCGAAGCACTGATCGATTCATGAAATACTTAAAGATATCTTTCGATTATGCAGCTGGAAGATGACCGTGATAAATAAATTTGGAATAATATGAAAATAAATGGTCTTGACCTGTATTAAGCTTAGCCCTGAATTTACCTGGATGGATTTACAGCAAACACCAACAACCTGAGATGGAAAACAGAATCTCGAGCAAAATTTTCGAACTCGGGGCTTCCGGAATATGAAGGAAAAATGTTAAACACTCCACGGGTGTATTGGGTCACTAATATATTTCAAATTATTGAAAAGGCATTATAACGGTACTATTATTGTTACTACTAACTCTGCAAGTATTGCTGCTGGCAATCACAATAACGGAAACAGTGAAACTGTTAGTTTAGAGGTTAATATCTGGGCTTCTATTCGGAAGTGCTCTGTTCGAATCGCGGATAGGTCATCGGCTATCCTGACTGAGGTATTTTGTGTTTTCTGTCAGTCAATCTAGGCAAATTCTGAGACATTACTTCATTTAAGCCATGACTGCTTCCTTTCAAATCCTCTCCATTCTATCATTTACCAGTCTTCGTATCATTCAGCACCATTCACTCTCGATACTGCAAGGGTCTTTAAAACTTTCACAAAATCACCGAGGAGAACATTTCGATGTGTCACAAAGATTAATACCGTTTGCACACATCTGAAAATGCTACTGGGGTTACTAAACGGGACTTGCCCCACAAGCGGGAGAAAACTCAAATTTTGGTCAGGAAACTAAAAGGAAGATCTATGAGAAGAAAAGGTGATAATATTGTAATTAATTTCTGAGAAATGGGCTGTGAAGACGCAAAATGCATTTAGCTGACTCGGGATGGAATTCAGCTCCGGACTTCTGTGAAAGTGTAACGCACTTTACAGGTTCCATAAAAATGGGAACGCGTTTACTTATATTAAAATAAAATTCACTTGGTTTTCCTCTTCTTCGTGGAAACATCTTATTTTGTGGAACAATTTGTGAATCGCAAATATGTAGCAGACTTTTCCCATTATCTCCTTGACAGTGCTAACGCACCCTAAGCCTCAGAAGTGGCGTTTACAGCAGAGAAAGACACGCACCAACCACTACGCCAGTATCTTGCAGCCACTGTTTCTCAACTGGGGGATCGTTCCTAACAGGAGACACAATTTTCGTTTATGGGTTATTCATTTCTGGTAATATTGTAGAATCCTTTAAATAAGAAAACATATCATTATTATGCTGATGTTCTTATTCTAGCATAATATGATATGTCGCTTTATGTGATTTCTTCCATTATCCCTTTATATAATTAGGTTTACTAGCAAATTTCAATTAGCACCCTGTTTTCAAGTAAATAATTTATTGAACATTTTTAATTTTTGTTAAACTTATGTGGATTTTTGTATTACATACTACTATAATGGCCTTTCGAAACTCGACGGAAATTATAGTTTGTTACATAAACTATAGTTTTAGTGTAAGCTTGGAGATTTTCACGGCGGTGACTATGAAGAAAGCAATATTCTGGGATGTGGCACCGTGTAGATGAGGTGTTAACAGACGTTCCTCCGAAACGTCGGTTAACACCACATCTACACGGTGCCACATCCCAGAAGAGTGCTTTCTTTATAGTTTTAGTGTGTAGACGTGAAACGGCGCTTAGTTATATAACTGATTTTCAAACCCAACATGAAGGCGAGACGGCAAAACATATCCTGATGCTTGGTAAGGATGACTCTTTAGCGGATTCGCAAGGTTAGCCTTTCTAGGAAAGTAATTTCATATCCTCATTGCGCACAGACTTTCTCTGTATTATTAATACCTTTAATGCATTTATCACATTGACTCCTTGCATGTTCCCTTTTTAACCTTTTCCTCCCTACGTCCAACTGCCGCCTTTCCCACTTCCTTCCTTCATCTCCTTTATTTTAAAATCGTTTAGGCAAATATCCATCAGAGACTTTAATAACAAGATGCGAAGGTGTGTACATGTGTCCTCGAATATTGCCTCGAGACAGTTTGATGATTAGCGTCATTTGTCTGGCAGTGAGAGTGGCTGCGTCTTCTGTAAGAGCAAGCATACGTACAAACATAGCTACATCAGTCCAATATCAATAGTGTGCATCCTGTTGTGTGTCATAAAAGTAAAGTAAAATAGAACTATCCTTGTAACCCATAGAGTTGTGAGACGGCGAGGATCCCACACTACCTAGACAATCAGCTCAAAGATGGCGGTATACAAAAGTATTGTGTAGATGGTTAACCTTGTTTACTTTTGTATGTCTTACACGAGTCCAATCTACATCCTTCCACTCCAAGTTCTGAATGAAAAAATAAATGCTTTCATCTCTTTGTCTCCGAACTAATATCTTCATTTAACATTTTCGGACAAAAATTTATAAGTACTTCTATCTTCTATCATGCGTAAATATCCCTCCTGTTTTAACCTCTTTAATTTTTCTTCCATAATATCAGGCGAAAAGCGAAAATTCAATAAAATCTTATTTTTCTAATTTTCTATAGTATATTATTACTTTATCTCCCTTAGGTTCAAATGTTCTATTCAAAAACGTGTTTACAGACATCCCCAATCTAAACCCTTCCTTCAAAGAGAGAAACAAAATTTCCACCAGTGATTTAATCATTAAGACAGAGTTAAAGTTCCACAATAAACACTTATTTGTCCAAGAACAATTTTAATATTGTCATTGCACATACGAGTACTCTTAATTGTCTCAAGTAGCTTCTTCCTTGGATGATTTAGGACCAAAAATGATTATATAGAGAACCAATCTAATGTTTTCACACCCCTTACACGTCCCGTCAGGCTTATGATTTAAGAATCTTGACCAGAGTTTGTGATTAGTGTTCTACTTGAAGTGAGGAAACAGTTCTCACACCCATGTAAAATGACACGTAGATTTCTGATCGCCAAATTCGTAGTTCATGTGTACGTGGATATCCATTTGTACATTGTTTTCAAGCCATGGTAGTTTATTTTATATACCTGAGGGCTTTGATTTGTATACATACAGAAAACATTGGTGGCTTCCCCAGCAACAAATCAGCATCTGCTAATGGTTGATCTGTAATGAATTCAAAACTAATTTCCTAGCGTCCCGGTTACAGTTACAGTGCATCTTGTGTTGCAGTAATGATATTAGTACTTTGTGTGTGAAACTGTTCATTTTCATTCATTCATCAGCGGCTCTACAGCCCTTTGTTGGGCCCTGGTCTCTTCTTTAGTTTTGGAACCTTTTTACACAGACGGTAGAGCTCCTCGAATGAGTGGTCAGCCCGTCGCAAGGCCGCTACCTACACACAGGACAACACAAACACAAAATAAAAGCGCACACACAGATTCATGCCTTGAGTGGGCTTCGAACCCACAATACAAGAGTTCGAGCCAACGAAGACAGGTCATGCCTTAGACCGCGCGGTCACTGTGATTCTAAAATCACTAGCCTATGTAGTTGGTGTTCAGTGAAGGAAAAGGCAACTTTGTTGAGCTGTGATGAGTGTTAAGGTTTCCCACGGTTCCCTTAACTCCCAGTTTTCCATAATCCCTGGTCTTACCAACCGCGGTTCTTCCAGCCCTGATATCTTGACGAGGGATTGCTATACAAATACATATACCAATGCACGTGTTCATATGCTGGAAATTCAAACGAAAACGGGGGAATATATGATGGATTAGTATAATTTCTCAGTTAAGTCTAGGTCTATGAGACTGGTTGTGCATGAACCTTTATTCACAGTTCAGTGTTCAGGTTGACACTAGTTTTCGGTACTTCACTTGATGTGACTGGTAGGAAGGGCATGTATTAATCCCTCTTTGGTCCTGTTTCCTAAACTATTTAGCAATTCTTCGTAAACTGTGTATATGAAACATAGCGTCAAAGGTAGAATATTTGTGAGTTATGAATCTGCAGTAGGTGTTAAAACCTTTAAACGAACTATACCAGAATATGTTTGGCGTGGATGAAGAACGCCACGAAAACCCTTAGTCATTACAGCGAACACACTGGCTGAGATTCGAACCCCTTACCTACTAAATACGAACACTCTCTATTACCCAAACAACCCTTACTTTTTGTAAGACAGATTGAAATATTAACAACTGAATGCTTCCAAACTTTATACGCAGCCCGGAATCGAACTTATGGAACGTCACATAGAAACTGATGACTACAAAAATTGTTACATGACGTAAATCAATTGATATTTCTTTGTATTTAAGATTGTCACACCATTGACTCTAAAGAGAAGGCTACTGTCTTCTCGAATTTTAATGCAATGTGGCCAGTCTGCTTCTTACTGAATGATTTCTTTGCTTACATTTCGATCTTGGAGACGGAGGTAGCGCCTCTACAGGATACAAGCGTCACATGCCAGGAGATAGCATTTGTCACTGTTCTTGTCTTATTATGATCTGCAGCTTTCATTTTAAAATACTTTGTTGCTTTGTGAATGTTTAAGAAGATAAGGGGAAGATTAATTTCTGGCTGTGGAGTCACAAATGAGCATTAAGGCTAAGGACTTGTGGGCACTAGCAACATAATATATTGCAGTAAAATATCAGGATTATTAATTACTATGTTCTGGTTGCAGCCACCACATCCCCATCAGACTGAACGACGCACCGAAAGTGCAGCAGTCTCGGCTACAGCACGTCAGCTGGCTCGGCAACACTACCGCCCTCATCCTAGTGGCCGAGAACGATATCTACTTGCGTCTCTCACCAGATGGCGGGCAGGACTTCCGTCTTACAGACTCCGGGAAACCCGGAACTATCTACAACGGCATTCCCGATTGGCTGTACCAGGGTGAGTGCAAGGCGGACGGACACAACTTCTAGACCACTATTCGGCCAGAATCTTATTCCCTAGAGGCAAAGCGGTCGGAACGTGAAACTGTGACAACTAATTACTATGTAATTTTGGTTTTCTATGTAATGAATAACTACATGCAGCAAGATACTTCTTGAAAAGCTAAATGTTTCTCAGTTTTTCAAGTAACATCGAGCCAGTTATTGACGTTAGATTTTGCCATTTCCATGTGTATTTATTTTTATGGTTCACATCTCCTTTTCTCTCAATGAAATGCTTGGTCCACACTGAGGAGGTGGAAAAATTAAGAAAAGTTAAGAGTGAGAGAAATAATTTTTGATTAAATGACAGACATTTGTGACACTAGCTTTATGTACGTATGTACGCCGAATACAATGATCTCTATCGTTTTCTTTATTTTCGTAAGTCTCCCGGATATCAAATTCCTAAATAAGCTGTTGCATAAACACGAAATAGAGAGGCGTCCGTCTGGTTCTGTTTCGATTCACTCACATCACAGTTAACAACAAAGGGTGCAGTCTCTATAGAACAACATTCTTTTGCAGAGGACATCTTGTCGTCGCCTGAGGCACTGTGGGGGTCACCAGATGGAACCCACATCATGTACGCTTCGTTCAATGATTCCGAGGTTCGAATCCTGGCCTTCCCGTGGTTCGGATCAGGCTCCATTAGCGGCTCTTTCAAAAAGGGTACTGGTGTCTGGACAACGTTTCCAGAGTCCCGCACGGTGCGCTACCCCACGGTGAGATATGGTACCCAGTGTCATGAAGGCAGGTTTGGTCACTGCATAGTCGATTCTCTTTACTTTACTACTTACTATTTTCAGTTGTCACTTAATTACAATGTAAGTGACGATTTAATTAACCCGAATGGCCGTGTAATAGTCAATAGATCTCCATCACATTAGGGTGGACTGGAGTTTGAAAGTCGTCTCGGAGATGGTAAATCCTGAAAAATTAGTCTTTCTCATTCACTCCAGTAAATGAAATAGTATCCTCTTTTGTCAATGGCTGATTCCACGCCTTTACAATGCATCGTTTATGAGCGCCCCATTATTCTGTGCTGTAGGCTTATAGGTAAATAAATCAATCGATTAATCATAGCTACATAAGTTAAAAAATACGAGAGACTATTTTTGCGATAAAATATTTCCAGTAAAAGAATTCGTCCAGGTACGAGTCTTCTTGTATTTTTTCGTAACAAGATTATTTTCCAAGGTGAGGAGTTATTAGCCCAATGCCTAACCTCCAAGCTAGAGTACCACCCCTTATCGGTTGTCCGCAACTGCTTATTCAATATACTCTCAGCTATCAGCTATATCTGGACGCCTTTTCCTCCGTCCACTACCTGAGGACACGCAATGCCGTGATGACAAGGCACACGCCTAACGTGGCTCACTTAATCACACACTCCCAAGATCACTGTGCTACAACACACAAAGTCTTCAGATCGCCTGTTAAGCCTTCACAGGCAGGCTTCTAATTCTTCTTCAACTACGATCGTCCCTTGACTGACTGGAACTCTCTAGTCAAATTCTCTCAACTGCGCTGTAGCGCCGAACGTCTTCAAGATAACTCTTCGGCACGAACTACTCACAGAAAACATGTCAGGTGACTGCTATCCAGCTAGTTCACTGACGCGCTGACTGCTGTCTAGCAACGTGCTATAACATTTGTCCTACTGTTGCGTGCGCATATAGCAGGGTGTTTGTCGATCCGTTGTCTAGAAATTTTTAGCAAATCCATTACAATATTTAAAAATCATGTTCCTAGCTCCAAGAAGGCACTCACTATTTGAATTTAAATTATTCATTCCGCTAATATATTTGGAAATATTACGCTTTATTCTGGGAAAAAGAAGCCAATAAAAATATTCTGCTGGCTCCAAGCCTAATTAAAAAAATATCTCCTGCGGAAACTGTTGAGGTTCTATCAAATCACAAACTTCCTTTATGAACACGCCCATAGCACATATACACGTATGTCCTTGCTGCACAGGACAACTATGTCATTGCTACGGACTCAATAATAATATTTTTGTGTGTACTTTAGACTCTCATAAAATGTCACAATTCATGTAATCTGTCGTGAAAATTTGAATTTATAATCACTACACCACGGAGACTGAAAATTGCTGAAATAGTAAGATGTAATTACTGTTCAGTAAATATATTTTTTTACCAGTCATCCTGAATATATGAAGATGGAATCGATAAATCAAGTGCCGTGCCGAGTGGACCCAGTTGGACTCCATCCCCCACTAAGCGAATTAAAAAATAAAACGCCTGAGCTAAGGCACGGTACGGCCTTTAAAAAAATTAAATTCGCTTAGTTGGAGGTTGAGTCCAACTGGGTCCACTCGGCACGGCGGCCACTGATTGACCTATTGTAGCCTGCCCCGGGTGATTATGATGATGGACAATTTGGTGGAATGAAGATTGGCAGGGAAAACCGAAGTACTCCGAGAAAACCCACCCAAGCGCCACTTTGTTCCCCACAAATCCCACTTGACCAGACCCGGGATCGAACCCGGGGCACCGCAGTGGGAAATCAACGACTAACCGCTTGAGCTATGGCGCGACCACGGTACGGCCTTTGTATTCACCTTAAGATATTGCCACTTCTACAGTCCATATGCATCCTACCTCATGTGTCGATATAGTTCATCTCGACTTATCTGTTGTATCTTACAATGCAGCCTGACCACTACATTTCAAAATAAATGGATAGATAGACTTTACATATCTCCGTGGCAGGGGGACCCTTGTGCGATAAAAATTGCTTTCTTTCTTCTGAAAAGTCGTACCGAAAATGTTTCAAATTATAATAAATCTGTTAATCTTTACAAGACAGTGCAGCATGTCATGTACAACTGTTTCACGCATGAGCAGTTATACAGAAAATAGATGAAGCTCCATTCCAACTGTCTGTAGTATAAAATATGGATAATATTTGATTCATAAGAACCTACATGAACATTTCCACACAATTAACAATCAAGTTCCTTCCGTCAAATGTGACACTTTTTTAAGTTTTCCACCTCGTCACCACCTGCACCACCAAGCATCACAACACACAGACAAGCAACATCAACTACCGACAGACAACACACGTCAACAACATCCCGAAGCAAAAAGATTGGGCCAAGCGGGAAAGAATTCTAGGGATTTTAAGAATTCTTACTTCAAATAACGAAACATAATTTTACAGAATTAACGACGAATCAAATAAGGAAGCTACTGTGGTGTGTGAAAAACTTTTAGTGAACCGACATTCTGGGTAATTTTAACTATTTGTAATTATTTTAATTAACTGGAACGTGGCTATCTTGGACAAAGTGAAGTTTTGTGTGTTGGTGATTTCTTTTTCTACTATAAATGCCTCTGATGATGGCTCCGTGGTGAGCCGAAACATGTAAGGCAGGTGGTGACGAGGTGGAAAACTTAAAAAAGTGTCACATTTGACGGAAGGAACTTGATTGTTAATTGGTTAGTGTGACGGACCAGAATGAAAGACCTTAAACTTAAAAAAAAAATTTCCACACAACTTTCCGTTCAAATCTTACGACACAAGAATTCATCAATATCTGTTGAATATTAAAGGAGATAAAATTTTTTTATGGACATGTATATCCTGTGTTATGTACACATACAGAAAACTCACAGTAAAACGCAGCAATCTTTATTTAAACAAGGAAAGTAAATTATACGCGACTAGATGCGAATCTAAGTTAGAGAATAAAAATTCGCTAGATGTAAAACGATATTCATATTTCAGGAACGTAATACAAACAAGAAAATGAAACCAAGCTGTTGCAAAGGAGCTAACTGCATATCCTACTGAAAGCCAATAATCTCGAAGCGGTTAAGTCAAGTCAAAATCAAGTCACGTTGCAACTGTCTGTCTTGGTGTCGAGCCCCGTCTGGGACTCATGACCAGATATTTCTTCTTGTATGAAAGTTACAATCCTGTCCATGTGGGGCGCCCTATCTGACGAGGAAACAGGTCTGTCTTTTGTCAGAGTCACAGTCAACAATATTGTCAATTGTCAATATGTACAATTATTAACATCTTACTTTTCACCAAATGTTTGTATATACAGTAAGTATAAAAGGTCTCTGCCAGTTCAGGCTCAGTACAGCAGATTATGTCTTCTTTTTAGTCGCTTCCACTACAGCCGAAGTGTAGTCAGTGAAGCGGTTCGAGAAGTTCTGTGACTTTAAGGAGTCTGAAGGTTTATTAGAGTGCCCATAAAATTCAGTTACTAGGTCCTATCCTTCACCATCTCAGTTTGGTTCATACCTTCATACGCCATTTTACTAAGATCAGTGAAGTAAGTAACAAAGGAGAGCCATTAGAAAAGTACACAATCCAAAATTAGATCGGTATTTCATTATGCTTATGTAGTGGAGAAAAGGACGATTGAATATAAAAGCAGTATTTTTTTTTCTGTGGCGCTACAGCCCCAATTTTGGGCCTAGGCCTACCTCCATGAAACTCTCTCTTTCACTTCGGTTTACTAGATCTTACACATACGGTAGGACTCCTTGGGCGAGTGATCAGCTCGTCGCAAGGCCTCTACCTGTAGACAAACACAGAAAAACGCACACAAACATCCATGCCCTGAGTGGAATTCGAACCCACGATCCCGGCTTCCGAGCGAGCGAAGACAGTACATGCCTTAGACCGCTCGGTTACCGTGACCGGCATAAAACCAGTATATCTACAGTAATAATTAGGTTTCTGCTTGAATATGTTAGTAGTTTGATTTCGTTTTGTCTTTATAGCCGGGGACAACAAACCCTGTAGTCAAGTTATGGATCATAGACATTCGCAACATCACAGAGACACAACGGTGGGAGGTGAAGCCTCCGGAAGTTCTTGAAAGCCAGTAAGTAGAATTGTGGCGGTTACCCATACAATGTGTTCTATTCTCATTGCAGTAGACTTTTACATAAACCATATTCAAACTAATTCAGTGGTATAATTGTTAGTTATTACGTTTTTAACTGGATTCCTTGCTCGAAATTGTGACAACTCCTACTGTTACAAAGTGATTTTTCATTATATATATGGACAAATACCGTCTTAAGTGCAACAATTTTATTGTAGTTTTTACTTCTTTTTCCTCCTCCACACTACATGTTTCGGCCCTAAATGGCCATCATCAGGTGTGTATCACTCACGTAACTGTTACACTGCTTGTTAAAAATGTAAAAATCCCAGTCTTTCTAATTGTATAAAATCTTTGTTAATCTACACGCGTCGATTTGATTTTTAAATTAGCACTTTTTAAACCTTAATTCAAGTTAAAATGTCTATAAGATCTTTGTTCT